AGAGACTTTAGAAAAATTATAACATTTTGAGGGATCAAATTATCATTTATATATTTTAAAAAGATTTTATTATCATTTGTCCAAATATTTACACCTTTCTAAAAACATAATTAGCTAGAAAAATATTGGAAGATATTTTTTTATAGTTCTCTAAAAAATAATTATATTAGTTAGAAAATTAGCAAAATGATTTTATGTTTATCTAAATTAAGACAATTAGTAAGACATTTTTATGATTTTTTACTCTTCCATATAAAAGATTATATTTTCTTAATACTTCCACAATTTTTTTAATAAAAAATTTTATTTTTCTCTTAATATTTTGGGAGTAAAATTCGAGTTAAGCGCCAATACTGATACGTTCCCTCTCTTTTTTTCGGTTCTTTGAATATTGATTCATCAGGAAAAGCTTTCACCGGTCAGTACTAGGGCTGCACAAAGGACTGGACGGGACTGGACTTCAGCCTAACCCGAAGTCTGGTCCTTTTCATGAAAAGGACTAGGTTAGGCAACCCGTAGTCCAGTCTGGTCCTGTGAAAACCCGGAGATTAACAGGACCGGACTTAGTCCATAGGACTGGGAGACTGGTCCTGTTAGTCCAATACTCACTTGACTTTTTTTTCTTTTTTTTTCTCTATGATAAGCAATAATCCATTTCAACCTAATAAATTCAATTAAGATAATAAAAACACTTATAATCATAATAAATTCATAATTCATAATGATTTCTAACATCAAGAAAATAATATTTCAGTTACAGTCCAAACTCCAAATGATTTAGATATATAACTTCAACAAAAACACTCAATAAAGTTTAACACTACATTACATTTGTCATGTAATTATCTCCTTAGCTTCAACAGAAACAAACTTAACAAATCTTCAAATAATTATCTCCTTAGTGTCAATAACACTTGAAGCATTTGTAAAAAAAAATCATATACACATATATAAAGTGATTAGTAAGTGTAAAAATGCAATATATACATTAAATTAAGAGATATAAAATTGAATATATTACCTGCAACATTAACCACATCGTCAGTCTCTTGAAAATTATCAACCTCATGAAACATAGAGACAAACTCTGAGAGAGATTGCCCTGCAACTAGCCAATTCTGGGCACAAATGAGTGCTTCAGTCATCTTAGGAGATAAAGAACTCCTATAACCATCAACAACACGTCCTCCAGTGCTAAAAGCTGATTCAGAAGCAACTGTAGATACTGGTATAGCCAATACATCTTATGCTATCAAGGAAAGCACTCTATACTTGGTAGAATTAACCTTCCACCATGTCAAGATATCAAAATCATCATCATCATCATCAATAGGGGTGTCCTCAGATGTACTAGCAGAAAGGTATCTATCCAACTCTGATTGGGTATCAACTGATGAGCTTTTTTGCTTCAGGGATGCTAACCATCTACGACCAGGGTCTTTTTTACCTTTACTTGCATTTGAAGTGTTGGTGTCAAGAGCACTTGGAGAGTTGATACTACCAGAACTGCTTGTATCAGGACCAATTGTTGCAGAGTATTCCTCAAATAGGCGATACAAAGTGTCTCTTGCCTTGTTCTTCATGGACATACAAAGGTCAGGGGCAGCAAAAAGCTGATCACATACATGATTGATATAGGCAAGCTTGTATCGAGGATCGAGAATCACAGCAATAATCAACAAAGGGTTCAAATTATCTGTTGCCCCCCAATACTTATCATATTTTCTCTTCATGCTCAAAGACATTTCCCTAAGAAGAGGGTCATCACTTTCAACATTCTCATCTAATAACTCTTGAATTAAAGCAATTTGATGGAAGCATGTATGTGCAGTAACTTTCAGTGTGCTAGAAAATTATAAAGTGACATCATAAAACACCTTCAAGAACTTAAGAAAGAACCGTGCTTTATTCCAAGCTTGTTTGTTTGGAGGGCCATTACGCTTAGGAGGAGCTTGCCTAGAGTAAGCAAAAGCATCTATGTTGTCATCGGGTCTAGCATCTTGCCTATAAACATAGGCATCTATGCTACCCTCTAAACAAGAAAAGTCACTTTGAGCATGACGCTTTGAACCTTTGTTGAAGTAACTAACAAAATCTTCATCTTCATCCTCTAATCTTTCAAATGCCTTTTGAAACTTCAAAGCCACATCCAACATTAAATATGTAGAATTCCATCTAGTACTGACATCAAGGCAAATAATACTTTTTGTGTCCAACATTTCCAATTCACAAACATCTTTAAATCTTTGCAAGCGAGCAGGAGAGGAACGAACATATCTAATAGCATTTCGAATGGACTCAAAAGTATCTTTCAACTCCTTCAACCCGTCATTAACAACTAGATTAAGAATATGTGCAGAACACCGTAGTTGAAGATAATCACCACCACAAACAAGACCCCTCTAATTCTTTAAACGCCTTTTTAAGTAAGACAAGGCTGTGTCATTGGAAGTTGCATTATCCATAGTTATGGTGAACACATTTTGTATGCCCCAATCTGATAAGCACCTTTCAATTGTCTTGCCTATCGTATCACCTTTGTGATTCTCAACCATGCAAAAACTAAGAATCCTCTTATGCAAGTTCCAATCATTATCAATGAAATGGGCTGTCAAACATAAGTAATTGAAGTTTTGAACTGATGTCCAACAATCTGTAGTGAGGCAAAGACGATTAGTACACTTCTTTAACAAATTTTTCAAGATTCTAATTTCACCAAGATACAATTGCCAGGCATCTCTAGCCACTGTTGTTCTTGAAGGGATTTGAAATCGTGGTTCTAACTCCTTCACAAACTTTTTAAAGCCTTCCTTCTCAACAAGCCTAAATGGCATCTCATCACATATAATGAACTCAACTAGAGCCCTGCGACATCGTTTCTGATTGAACATATGAGGTACTAAGCTTCCCTCTTGCCCACTTGGTGTCACATAATTCAACATCGATTGCTTCGTCATTTGTGTAGCTTTATGTGGATTCTTGGAACACTTTGGTACATGCCTCTTCAAGGATGTTAAACCATGCTTGCCTGGGTCACAAGCATAATCTAAATTACAGTACTTGCATGCAGCTCTAACTTCTCCATTTGTCTCTTCCAATGGTAACTTAGTAAAGTGTTCCCACACTTTTGACACCTTTCTTGTAGAATTTTTTCTCTTTCTACTACCTTCTGTAGCTTCACTTTCAGTTACAGTTGTAAGAGGAGGAGGACATTCCATAGTAGTTGGGGGTTGAGGTGGAGGAGTAGGTGTCAAAGATGGTTCAGAAGGAGTTGAACTCACATTTTCACCAGTGAAAGGAGACGATTAAGGTTGGTCAATACTAGATGTTTGCTCAATATCCATTACTTCACAATGATAAAATATAATTGATAAGTTATAACAGCAAAATGGTAAAAAGGAAGCAAAATAGACAAGTTATAATAACACAAAATCATGGCAGGGAACACAAAAGCCAGAAAATGAGAGCACATAATTGATAAGGTGATTACTAATAAAAATCATCCCACAGGAATGTCCTTCTAATAGAGCAACACAGACATGGGGAAAAAACTTTAAACAACTTCTAAGGCAAGTCAATCCAAACCTATGTAACAAATTTTAATCCATATTAAACAACTTCTAAGGCAAGTCAATCCAAATTTTAATCCATATTAAACACATAAATGAATTTGATAAGCACGTTGCAAAGGCACAACAAGACTGTCTAAAAATGATAATAATTGATTTTTATTTCTAGGTAACTGAGCATAAACATCACTAATACAAATAAGAAGTATCTCAGTGCCTATCCAAACTGCAGTAAATATTCAAGTTATAAATATGAAGAAATTTCTAATACATTCGAATAGCCTGCCTTGGATTTCAATTATACTCATTATACAAGGCTTAGTAGTTATTAGTTGATTTCTATCAAATACAATGATTTTAAACCAAAAAAAAACAAAATACATGCTTCCCGCTACTCCACGCATGCTTGCTACCCATGCCCATGCTATTTCTCAGCAAAATTAAGCACCATAGAGCTCAGTTAAAACAACTTTCTCCCGAAAGTATCAGATTGGATAACGAAACAGAGAGAAATATAAGGGAGGTACAGCAATATATCAGTGGCGCAATGATCCAGTGTATATAAGGGAAGTATCAGATTGAAAGTATGTAAGGGAAGTTCAGAAATATACCAGTGGCGCAATGATCCGCTCACGGTAACCTCTTCGCTTGTCGTCTGGGAATTGGCGGAAAACTTAGCAGAGCAGTTGAAGCTGAAGCAGGTAAGTACGATTTAATTTGAGGGAAAGAAATTTGTGCCTTTGAATTAGAGGTTAGGGGTAATGGAGAGCAGGGGTAGGGCGGTGGTGTGGCGTGCTCAACGGTGAATCAGATGCGAGAGGCGATGCCGATAATAGACGGACCGACGTGATTGAAGCAGAGCAGCGGTGGGTAGGATTGCAGGAGAATGGCTCGAGCGAGAATGAAGAGGGAAGAGCAATGAATCAGAGATTAAGGCTCGAGCGAGAATGAAGAGGGAAGAGCAAGGGCTGCCGATGTGATTGACGGTGGTCGGAGGTGGCGTACCGGAGGAGGCAGGGGCTAGGGTTCGGCGCATTGGAGAGTAGAGAAACTGAGAATGAGTTTTGTGGTCGAGACCCAAGTAGCTGCGCGTACTGAAGCCTGAAGTAATTAATAATTTATAAATTATTTTTAATTATATTAAAATAATTATATAGGACCAGACCGGACCACTTAGTCCAGATGCTTGGTCTCTAGTCTGGTCTTACCCGAAAAATAAGTCCTGTTTTTTTGGTCTTTTTAGACCTACAGGACTAACATTTTATAGGACTGGATTGGACCGAATTTTTACGGGTCGGACCGGGTTGGACCAGACTACAAGACTTTTGCACAGTCCTAGTCAGTACTCCAAGTCTCCAAGCCCTCGACATTTTCTCGCTGGCTATCTATTCTTTTATATCTTTGTGGTCTCTTCTGTTAGGCTGCTCCTTGGCAAGATTCCTCTTGCGGCGACACTGTGCTCCTCGGTTCCTCCTCCTGCGACGACGTTCTCAACACAAAACCCCAGATCGGTATGCTTTCTTGTAACCCCTCTCTCGCTTTCCCTCCTCCGTTTCCCATCTCTGTCATCAAAACCTAGTCATAGTTTCCTCTGATTTTTCCCTCTTATCATGTTCCTTCCCCTCTTTTCTCCTTTGGTTTCCCTTTATGATTGAGTAATTTATCTGTGAAGAGATAGACTTGGACAGAGTGGAATGCTTTGTGGCTGTTCTGTCTCTGGTTTTGATTTTGCCTGCCGATAATTGATTTTTCCTACCATTAGTCGAACTGGGAACCTCTCAGCATTTGAACCAGACCTCTCAGATGAATTAACGCGTGTGTGAAAGTTTGAGAAGCATAGTCGTGTTATTTTTTGAGTAGTGGAATCTCAAGGGATGTGTGAATGCAGTAATTCCATTAGAAATTTTCATTTTTGATTTTCAATAATGCCGTGGGTGAGGTGAATGCAGCAATTTATCTATTCTTTTTATCTGGAATTGTTTTTTTTTTGAAATTATATGATTTATTAGATTATTTGAAAGCTCTATAATTAATTATATTTTGAACCCTCTATGATGTAGGTGATTTTGAATCGAATTATAATTATCGAGGCATTTGGGGTTGAGCTAAAGGAGGTAAGCTCAATGACACATGATTCCATCTTCTCTTTAAGTAAGTTGGGGTCAATTTTTACATGTTTTATTCTCTCGTGATACACAGATTTTTTTTTCTTTTGGCAATTCAATCTTCAGATATTAATTAGCAAGTTTGGAATGATTAATATCATCCTCCAGATTTATGGGGAGATCATTAATAGAGTTGTTATCGTAATTACTGATTTTTGGAATTTGTATTTGATTCATTCCTCTTGTGTGTGTTTCATTCAGTATCAATAGAGATTGACCTTTTGTCAGTAAGCACCACATAAAACCTCCATTGACCACATTTTTAAGAGCTGTAACTTAGCTGCTGTAGTTTGGAAGAAAATATTGCTGCTTGATATGTGTACTGAGTTCTATGGCAAAAGTATTGATGCTTGGTTAACAAATATCATGAATAGTCCCCGCATTGATACTTCTTGGAAAATTTGTGTGTGCATTTTGTGCTGGAAATTATGGGAAGCTGATGTAATTTCCTTCCTGCTTGCCCGTACAGTTTCCTGATCATTTGTATTTTTTTTTTGAGTTAATGAATTCCCCTTTTACTAAAAAAAAAAAACTTGCTTCAAAGCTTAACTCATCTTTAGATTTAAAAACTGCAATAATAAAATTTTTAAAAACACAAAATAATAAAACTTTTCCTAGCTATTGAGAATGAAAGTTACAAGAATATCTTGCCCAACCCATGAATATGATTCCCGCCGAGTAGCAGCCCAGAAAATTGCAAATGCCAAATAGACTAACATCACTACGAGTGAAAAAAACAGAAACCTCCTCAACCTTAGGGATACAAAAGCCATGGCCATGGATGCTTGGTCTTCAGGTGGGTCCTCTTCAAATGCATTTGTTGACTTGGTAAGCTCTTGGAAGCATGGTTGACCAACTTAAATTGGCGTTGGGAAAATTGGTGTATGTGTGATCAATTTTGATCGAGAGGAAACCAGTTTAACAACAGTGATCATGTTTGTATCCTGGAAGTGGTTTAAATTCTGATTTTGTTTGTCTCACTTAATTTATATATTTATGCTTACGTGCATAATTTTTTGACCAACCTTAAAGTAAGTGGATTTTAAATTTTAAAATAAGTTAAAAGAATGAATAACAAATTTTAGTGAGATAAGGATGAGTGATGCCTAAGCAACACGGAGGAACGTTAAGAGAAATATGCATAACTTTATTTGTCTTGTATAATTTAAAATATTTTAAAAGGATCTAGGCTTTTTGAAAATTCAAATGCATGGTATAATATGTATTTTAGAGAAATAGAGTTGGAAAGAGTAATATTCAGACTTCATAATATAGGAGTTATATTCAGACTTCATAATATTCAGACTAATAAGACATCACAACTAATAATTTCTATAGTCACTTGCCCTGTATCTCCATAAATTCAGAGCAGTCACAACAGCAAAAAGCCCCTCATCCTCATCATCTTCTACTTTTACAACAGTGCCCACTGTGGTCTGTCCCAAGATTAAGTCTACAAAGCCACTCAAATCCCATTGGCCCCTGCTGGTCCCCCCTTCCGCCACTGCATTGATGTACAAGGTGCTTGGTATGCAAGGTGCCAGATAGGCTTGGTGTAGGTGATATAGGCTTGGAGTATATTCCCCCTCAAAACAATTTTCATAGGGATTTTTTGACAATTTTTCCTTCTTTTTTTGTATTTAATTTGAGATTTTCAGGGCAAAAAGAGTCTTCTGGTCCCACACCTTGACTCTTGCGGTTTCTCTCTGTGTGCGTGCTCCCTGGACCCCATCTTGCTGTTTGTCGTCCTACTGCTGCCTTGCCTTCAGGCCTTCTCCTTTCAAGTGAGCTCCTTTCTGTTGTCCGTTACCCTTTCCTCTGCTGGAGATTGTGCTTGTTATACACAAATGGGCATGCACTACAGGTGCCTTTCAGGAGCTGAACCAAACACAAGCTGACAGTCTCAAACCCCATCCTTGGACTTTTGCCAGCCCCTTTGTTCATTTGTTATTGTTGTTTCCTTCCCTCCCATGTGGTAAATCATGCTACCACAATTTTTTATGTTCCCCACTTTTTTGTTTCTTTGATGAAAGATGTTTCCCTGTTAAATCTCATTCTTGAACCTTTTTTTTTTTGAGATCTTTTGTGCGTGATTGAACATGTTCAATTTGAGGGAAATTCATGTAGAAACCACCAGGGGTCCAAAACCATCATTTTTCTTCTTCCCGTTGCATGCATGGCATCAGCATCACACGCAGAGCAACATTCTTCCTCCTTATGGCCTCTTCTTCTGGAGTGGGTGGCTTCTCAGTTCTTGGCATGTTATGTTGGCATCACTTCCTTTGAATCTTTGATCCAAGCTGCTTGCTGCTTCAAAGTAAGCAAGCTCCGTGCTCCCTATTGCCATCTCTCTTCTTCAATCATAATCGTGAAGCTTCTTTGGTTGTTGTTGATGTGACCTTGAACTAAACCTCTCACTATCACATTCTAGTTGTTGTAATTTGAACCTAATGTTGTTTGTTCCCCCTTCACTTTGTGACATTCTTATTTCTGGTCAGAGCGACAAATTTGTCATAAGCGTCATTTTTTTTCAAGATCTTAATTTTATAGAATATAACTTCCCTAAATTTTTCATATTTTTAGAGTATAACAATGACCAGAAGACCTAGAAGGCATAGCCAACGTTTGAAAGCTCAACCTTTGACATTCTCCCGGTTTGCTCGTTCAGTAGCCCGATTGGCCTCTACTTCCAAAACTGATAAAAAATCTGGTCCAAGCTTCACAGGTAATCCCTGTCTCTACAGTAATGTACATTTCATAGTCAGTTGACGTTGACAGTTGCATAATTGCATCCCAGTGTCTAAGCCTCTAACTTACTGCCCAGGCAATAGGTTTGCTAAGCACACTTTGGAAGAGAAGACAGAGCAATCTGAGTCATCCAGTGAAGAGTTTGAAGTAATTGTTCATAGATGATTTATTGTATTCAAGATGTTTAAATTAAAATCAGAGAATAACTAGCAAATTATTAAAGTATGGTTTCTATCCTTGAAGGATGTTGTCCAAGCAGATTTTTCCTTCTTTGATCCCAAACCTGGTGACTTTCATGGGGTAAAGAACTTGCTTCAAACTTACCTGGATGATAAACAATGGGATTTGAGTGGCTTTGTAGACTTAATCTTGGGACAGGCCACAGTGGGCACTGTTGTAAAAGTGGAAGATGATGAGGATGAGGGGCTTTTTGCTGTTGTGACTGCTCTGAATTTATGGAGATACAGGGTAAGTGACTATAGAAATTATTAATCGTGATGTCTTGTTACCACATATCTTTTGGTTGGCTTCAAATGTTATGTAAAATCATATTTACTTCATAGCACATGTGATCTAGATCCTTACCAAATTTACCAGTTTGGTGATTTGTTAAAAGTATGAAAAGGAAAGCTGCCTAGATCAAAATACTAATGGCATGTTTCTTATTTAAGATAGGACATATCATGTGTTTGCATGCGTATGTCTCTATTTAGAAAATTAATCCTTAACATTATTTATTTGAGGTAGAATACAACAGTAGGTCTTTATATTTTGATTGCATTTTTTTCAGTTCTTATAGTTTTATTTCATTGTTTTCAATCCTTTTAGTTTGATCCGCTTGCAACATTAGCCTTTACAGTTTTAAAAATGCATAGAAGGACCATGACTTGACATTGACAAAGTTAATCTTGTTGATGTGTACTTAACTCTCTTAATCCCTTTGCTCATATGGAAATAAATTGACCATATCTAATTAAAAATAAAAAGCAAGGGGGAATTTTTTTTTTTAATATTTGGTTTAAACAGAATGTGGGAGACAAAGGTGAATACGGTTAGATTAGAGAATGCCTTTGTTTAGAAGTTCTAATCATTAAAAGGCAAAAGGGATAACAAAGTTAAGTATATGTCAGAGAAATTAACTTCGTGCCAGATTATGGTCCTAATGTGTAGAGCTGAGAATAAGGGCTAGCCTGATGAATTGCCTATTTAAGCCTGTTTTTTAAGGATTTAGGCTTGAAAAAATGGCATTTTTTGGGGAAACTGGGTTTTGAAGCTTGGCCTTGATGGGCTATGAAAAAACGAGTTCTGGCTTGAGCAGCCCTTTCTATTTTACCTTTGAAAAATAAAATATTTTCAATTTTTAAATTGAATTTAAACTCTAAAATATATGTTGATACTTTAGAATTAGAATTTCTATGATTTATTTTTAATTTTTAACATTATAATTTGTATTTTTAAGAAGAATATGTAATATTATAATTGACAATTTTAATTTTAAAAATAAAAAAAATAAAAAGGGGCTGACGGGCCTAGCCCTGAGGCCTTTGAATAAGGGTTGGGCTTTCATAAATGATCAATTATGGGGTATTTGGGCTTATGGGCTTGAGCCCATACGGACTGAGCCCACCTGTTTGTTTCCCATTCAAAACTATAGGAACTAAAGTTGTGTATGAATTGAACTAAAAAGATTGGAAATAACAAAATAGAACTATAAGAGCTAAAAACAAAACACAATAATAGGGACCTGCTGCTGTATTTTAATTTTCCCCTTTATTTGAGGTGCAAACTGCAATTTTTTGATTTAGTAGATGACTCCAGTAATTCTTGATTCTGCGAACAACATGCCAATTTGATGTGTGACTGGCACAGTATTTCTGCACTTGCAGAAGCTTGACTAATTGCTTTTTCCAGGAGCAAAAATGTATTGTGGAGCTAAAGGATTTCCTGCTTAAAGAATGCAAAGAAGAAGGCACATTTGATCAATTGAAACTTATTTTGGGGGAACAAGCACATGATGTTGGTCTTCTGGTGTCCCAGCGTGTAGTGAATCTTCCTCTGCAGCTTTTGCCACATCTTTATGATGCCCTTTTTGATGAAGTGTCATGGGCGACTGAAGATGAGGTCAGATGTTGATAGTATTAGATGGGTGAGGGTGGTAGATATGATTCAACTTAATCATCAGAGGCTAACTTTGCCCAGGGAACTTATAATGTATTGTTTTGCATTTTTGTAGCCAACAGAGGAGCTTCGAAATTCCTTCAAGTTCACGCATTATATAATATATAGTAAAATTTACAAGGTACCCTTCTGTGGCGTCACCCTCCTATTCATTGTCTTCTCTTTTTGGTTACTCTAGAGTTTCTGGTTAAATTCATTTTCTTGTGGTTTGCTGTTATTTTTTATTGATTTTTCTCTTCTTGACTGAATGTGAAAACACAGCATAAGAATGCAGAGCAGAATAGAAAACTGAACAATGATGATGACGACGCAATAATATATGTAAAGCCCGAGGACGAACTTTTTCACAAGGTACTGAACTACCATTGCTTTTGTGGAACTTGTTGACCCGTTTTGTATTTCTTTCCCTTCCATTACTGACTGTTGGATGAGGGCCTATGGCGCCATTGGCCCATATCAAGATTAGACCTATTTTTCCTTATTTAAATAAGATCTGCTATCTGTTATTAATATCTATTTTTTATTTCTTGTCAGTATCTGATTTGATTTACCAAGATTATAGGAGAGATATTTGTGATTTGTGTAGATTCTCTTCCTCTGATTTCTTTTATATATGTCAATGCTTCTTATGAATAAAATTAGAGTGCTGTTCTACCCTAATTATAGCACTGACTACTTTCTAAAATTTATCACAGTTGAGCTCCTGGTTTTTCTGTTTTCCGTTGCGAACTTCCCAGCCTGAAACTCGTGAGGCAAGTATTACGATTCCTTATATACCATGCCATCATTGCAATATGTTTTGGTTCTCCATTTTCTGGATGCATGATAATATTAAGTACTGCCTCTGTTTATTGGAGAGAATGTACAGGAAAATATGGTGCGCTTCATGGAATATAATGCTCACATTCTTAACAGGAAGTTTTTTTCTCTCCCATCTTTTACGGGATACAGTTAAATGTCCGCCTAGTTTTATTTTGGGGGCGGGGTGCTGAGGGTCGGTGGGTATTCTTATGAAGTGATTGAACAGCCTATTTGAAAATTCTCTCTTTACTTTGTCTTTTCCCTCGTTGATGTAGAGATGAACATCCGAATCAGGTACAGTGCGAGGTTTTAAGCTTCACTCTCATCTTTCCCTCTACAATCTACATTCAAGGATTAGATAGGAATACCAAATTAACATGATCAAGATAGAGCGCAACGGAAATGACCAAGTCCAAGTTGTTGGAATCAATTTTGATACACTCAACGTTAAGAATTTTGAAATAATTAGAATTTCAGTTTTATTTTCTTGCTTAAACGCCCTATGATCATATATGGTCAGTAATTCTGAATTTGATATTCATGTTTTGCCTATTACAGCTAAAGACTTACAGGTCAATGGGATTAGTCATGGCCGTTGAAGTGGACAAAATTCCCACATTTCGGCAAGAATTACGTTCTCTAATAAGTGAACCCTGATGCGACGGATTTTGATCAATGCCGTCAAACTTCTGATTCATTCTGATCTGATCAAGGTGCCAAATTTTAATACATTTTTGGTCATGGGTGTTGAGGCGCTTTTAAGAACGTACTTTTCTACATTAGCCTGATGTATTTAAAATTTTGCTCACAGAGAAACGGGCCTAAATTGATAAATTGATTTCATCCCTTGAGTTTATGGCCGTTTTTGTTCTCGCGGTGCCTATCGACCAGATATTTGTGGACAATATCTTCCGGTTTTCACCCTTGAATGCTTAGCGAAACATGTTAGTATGTTCTACGGCTACAAGAAAACATTTATTTGCATTGAGCAAACTGATGAAGATACGATTCTGTCAATAAGTTGATGAAATTGAATACTGGATGTGGATTAAAGAAACTTTATAATCGCGCAGACCACTTTCTAGATTTTTCACGCGTGAATGTGGTTTGTTTATTACTATGGGAGACATTTTCTATTTCTGTGCTCTTTATGGACAATGTTGATGATCTGATATATTGATGCATGGCCAATGTTCGTCACACCCCCTCACCCTCAAGGTTCTTTTGAACGGTGGGTTGGCTGGCATTGTGGTCCCTTAACTCAAACGATTTATTAATTTTTTATTATTTTCTTGGGGTCACTGATTTGGTGAAATAATGGGCGTTAGGGCTAAAGGCAAAAGCGAAAATAGCCAGGGAAGTTATGGTCATCTAACATTATATTAATGAGTTAAGACTAGCTTGCTAGTCAATCATTTCCTAACGGCTAATTGTGGAGTCCGCAGGGGCCTGTTTGGTTCAGAAGAAGCATTTTCATGGAATTAAAACTGGAGAAGAAAATGGAATTGGAATTGGAAAAAGAAAAGGAATTAAATTAAAAAGTAGGTTTGTGTGATAGAAAAAATGGGTAGAAATTATTTTTCAGGCATATAAATTAAATTGATTTTAAAATCTAAAAAGATAATATTATCTCTACCACTTTCCCTCATCCTTCCTCCTCCACCTATTCATAGACGATGCACCAGATCAACAATATTTAACACAGCCCAGTTGGTAACAAACAACCCAAAATCAATCAAAACCATGTAGAATCAAATGATTGGAATTTTGCTTATAATCAACCCATATTGTAAAATGATATGTGATAAGAATCAACAAAACCAGATTTGGGAATGTACCAAATAAAACCAGACCTGCCAAAAAAAAAAGAAAGAAAGAAAGAAAGAAAGAAAGAAAGAAAAAGAACAGGATGACTTGACATCCATGGCTTCTCAAACCTAAACTAGATCTGTAGTGGCTTCATCCTCGAACTTCATCCTTATTGTCGATGTCAGATTTGTGATGATGAAACATGGAGAGGAGAACAACTAGCAAACAATTTTGGAGCACAACGGCTTCCACGGCTTCTAACACTCACCGCCAATGGTCATATTTGTGATGTTGAAGCAGCATGATCAGTGAACATACATTCAAGCTTAGATCTAAAGCTCGTCGAAGCACTGAACCCTCTCTGCCGAAGCGATTTTGGAAAATGAAGCTTGCGGAAGCTTCCATGGCTTCTAAAGCTCGCCTAAAAATGAAGTGCAGAGGGAGAGAATGTCGAGGCGGGGAGTTTGATAGTTTAGAGGTGGGGAGTTAATTTTGGCAATTTGAAAAGTAATTAAGGACATTTTGATCAGCATAATTACTTCCTAGGAAAATCTGGATTTTCCATAGGGTGATGGTGGGAATTGAATTTCGACTCTCTTTCCTGGAAATCAATTCTTGAGAACCGATTTTCATACCAACCAATTAAAGGAATTTGCTAATTCCTTTTCCCAGAGTTTAATTCCAGCGGACCAAACGGGAATTCTTTTAAAAACGTTATATGTTGTTCAGCCTGACTTGTAACATAGGGTATGTTTGGATTACCTTTTAACTGAGGTTTGGGTCCTCCCCAATCTTAGTTGAGGAAAAAAAGCTCATTGCAAGATTTAAAATCTTGTTTGAATTAATTTTCTTTTTTTTTCAAACGAGTGTTAAAGCAAAATGAGCGTTGTTGTTGAAGCCAGATGAGGGGGCTTTTTTAGGCATGTTAGGAACGTTGGTGCGGCGTTTAATGTCAAAGTCCTTTTTCCTTATCCTCTCACCTCAATCAATCCCGGTCGTTTTTTCCGGCCAAAAAAATAAAAAAAATCAATCCCGGTCGTTTTCTGAATATAATACCCAAACACTAGAAAAGCCTTGAATAAGAGATTAGCAGTTGGATTCGCACTCTATAGAACTGGAAATTGAGGCCAACAACCATCTGAACACCTTTGTGAAGAGTCAAATGTCACGGGCTGAGAGTCTGGCGCAGCACACGACGCCTATGCGGTGTCTAGAGGACCTCATAATCCTCAGAACAAGCCTTACCACATACGGATCACACTGGTTTCGTCCTGCCATGGGCTCATCAGGGAGGCGGCACCAGCCCCCGACCAGTTGTGCACTCAGTCCGAAGACTGAGGCAGAACACCCCCAATGCCAATGTCGCCCCCTTTATCCATATTGTGCGAGGCTAACCAGCGAATCGTTCGTTACATTGGTCTTTAACGGTCACGGAGATATCATCCGTGACACAAAGCTTCAAATTGAAAGGCCAAATCAGCTTTGCTTTTCACCTTTAGGTCACGTTTGCTTATTAGAATAGAATGAAATAGAATGAATTAAAAAAATAAAAGTAATAATAACATGATCAAAGAGGATATGTGAGCACATTTATAAAGGAGATGGGTAATTTAGTTTATAGAGTTGAGAATCATGATTCATAAAATTTTTGAAAGACATGATAATTCTCATATTTGTAATTATATTAATAAGTTTTCTTATATTTATTATGAGAGAAAGACAATTGAATTTATTTTTATCTTTATTTGTTCAATTCATTCCATTTTATTATATTCCAGTAAGCAAACGTGATCTTAGCATTTTTGAATATAACACACAAGCCAGCATCCCTGCCAACACTAAAAGAAACATCAGTATTGCATTTTATACGAGAGGGATTTGGACTACGCCACGGAAGAGTAGGCGAGAACCCATGAGTGTCATTCACATTAGGTGGGCGATGCCAATTATGAACACTCCAAAATTCATATGGTAAAGATTTAGCATTGGTAACGACCAAAAAGGAATCAACAGGGGAGCCTTTTATATCGGCTAGAGCATCTTGCCTTCCAGATTTGCCAAACAGTCATGACGACCAGAGCTTTGTTAAAATAATCTAAACCCGACTCAACAAAACACCAGAAAAGCCAATGATTAAGACAAGCAATATTAAAATAGTTCAAGTTTCGACACGACACATTGCCCTATTTAACAAGTAAAGTAAACAATGAACAAATGAAATAAAAAAGTTTTGATATTAATTCAAATAACTATGAGGGATAATTTTTTATTTCTTTCAAAAATTTAATATCAAATTATTACCCTGGACTACAGTATAATTTCAACAATTTAGAGATTTTTAATTTTAAATAACTGTGGTCAAGGAATCTTTATTAAAATTCTCCCTTTTAAACAAATTATGGGTCTTAAAGTTTAAAAATTAAAATTAAAATATATTTTGAATATTATTTTAAACTATTTTATTAAAATAATAACCTTTTTAATTTTTAAAGAAAATATCTATAATAATATACTCAAATATATGATCTCTTGGCATAAAATGAACTAAAATATAAAGGATTAATTAATATTTAATATATATATTTAAAATACTAAAATTGTATTCATGACTTTTTTCAAATCTATTTAGGCTCGAACATAAAAAATTTATTATTTTACTAAGTTTGGCTCTAAATTTTTTTCATGCTTATTTAGGTTGACCTAAATTAATGGTTTTAGCAAAAGTAATATAAAAATTTTCTTATGTGTAAACTTTATCCATTCTTTTATATATCTATAGGGAGATTGACAAATACATACATACATGCATTATCTTTCAACCTATGAAAGGAATTCACACGTGCATTGCATCCAAGGACTCGCCATCCTGTACTTAGGAGACACTTTAGAAAGATGTTTGGTATAATATAATTTTAGTACAAGGCCGCCAATAAAAACAAAATATATGATTATACATAGGATATTTATGTAATCATTATATTCATTATTATTTTTTAAATCTAAATCCCTCCCTAAATGTATAGCATATATCCATTATATTATTAAAGACAATTCTGTTCAAGATATTATTAAACACTAAATATGAATAGATCTCCTCACGAGGATTTAAACATGAGTTTTCTATATTATAAGGGATTAATCTTGTCTACTACACCCAATCCCTATTAGTTATAATTTCACAAGTTTATGTGCTAGAATACTAGATATAAAAATGGGCTTACATATTTTTCTCTTAAGAAAATGGGCTTACATTGATGGATATGTTGAAAGTGATTATTGGAAAAATTTATAAAATATATGGAAGGTTGTAAGAACTAAGAAGAATAAAAATATACAGGGAATGCTCCTTTTCTTGTAAATTTTGGATTTAAGGTAGTATTTAGATTGATGGATTTAGATTTTAAATTTAAAACCTTGCATTTCAAATCTCACATTTAAAATTTATATATTTAAAATTATTTGTTTGGATAGTTTAAACATTTTCAAAAAAGAAATGAAATGAATTTTAATGAAAATGAAAAATTAGAACTAACAAGTTTATTTTTATTTTTCAATCGATAAGAGATGAAAAAAAAATACAAGAGTCATAGAAGTATTAATAATAAAAACATGAAAAAAATAATTTATTTAAAATGGTTAAAATTTCAAATGACTAAAGCATAGAGGAAATTTAAAATTACAAAAGAATTATAATTTGAAATGGATTTAGATTTAAATCAAATTTAAATTTATAAATTTTTATGTATCTAAATGAGAGATTTGATTCAAATTTATATCAAAATCCAAATCATCATTAATCTAAACACATCATAAGTATAAATATAATAACCTCCACAGTAATTATTTACCTTCACTTCTAAAATAATCAGAATATGTTCTTTTTCCTTTTCAATTTTTGCAACTTATCATTATAATTAAGCTTTCATTAATTTTTGGTTACATAAATTTTCATTCATTTAATTTTTGTATAGGCATGATAACCATAAAAGAAAGAGACTCATCCATTTATAACCTTTTTATATAATTGATATGTGGGTTTCAGTTGACTGTATTAGGACCTATATTCCCAAGCACTGTGGATCTCCTTGAGATAATATAATATAAAATAATATATGAAATTCATATTTTCTTTGACATACATTAAATTTTCTTTGACAAATATTGAAGTTCACAATTTAAGTTTAAATACTTGACACTGACATAGATTAGAAAAAACTCGAGAATTTAAGATACTTGAATCATCTATTTGGTTAACTGTCGAGGAATCTCAGATAACAGTATACCGAACTCATCATATCTATTGTAAATTTCATTAAGATGTAAATCTTTTAACATTATCTGATCAAGATAGAATTTCAAGAGCAAACATAATATACAGTAAAATTCAAAATTTATTTGCAACAATATATCAGATATATTCTATATGCTGCATTGCTGCTTACTATAAATACATGTCAAGTTCAGCATATTTTTGTACAATCTTTACAAAACAAATAAATTAAAAGAAAAAACTGTGGTTCACTCACACAATCGGGTATATGTACTGAAAAGAAAGTACTCCAAAGTAAAAAACAACTCCCTGCTTCCTTTTCTTCCTCTGCCAGAGGGTTTCTGCTCCACTCTTCCTATTTCTCAAACCTGGAAAAAAATGCATGTCAACAAGAAGAAGAAGAAACGTGATGTTTCTTTTAGGACAAAACATACAAAAAAAATTCTTTAAATGTTTGCTATCAAGTTTTTCGATGAAAATATAGCATCTAAACATCTTGTATAGCTCGGCATCATACTATTTGATTCGTAAAACAAAATTCCCACCACATGTCACGCTTTAATGGAAAAATCTTATAGCAAACACTTAAGAATTGCAAGTGTAAGTATTGCCCATTCTTTAATGGAGTGAGGTTACTGTCGTGTGTGTGAGAGAGGAGATAATCCGTTGGTATAAAAAGAAAAGTCACGTACAATTTTAATCCCTTTATGTAAGCCAATAGAAGTATGGGTCTGGTAGGCGGTAGCAATTCAGCTTTAGAGAATCAACAAGCACAATGAACTAGCTATCTTAGCAAACTGAGGCTCAAAGAACGGAACTCATCTTCCGGGGGCACAAGATTTAGCATTTTTGGACCAACATGAGTTTGTCCCCTGTTTATTAAGAAGAGTTCACAACTATTAGTGCGTACACAAGTGATCAATTTTGAGTTCTCATACAAAGAATTCATAGAACACTATCCTTTGTTCTAGACTATCTTTTGGAAATTAATGAGGTGTTCAATGATACCCAGCCAGCTATACCATAGAAGAAACCATTTTAATGAATCTTAAGTAATACACTGAAATGTAGCATGCTTTGTAGGCATTAGGTTTGCAAACAAATAAGGTGCTGCTTTTTCCCCTTGCATACACAGACACGTATTTTTATGTGAAGAGATCAATAGACACCAATCAAATCAATCTCATGATACTGAATAACTTTTGGCAGAATGTGCTTCCTGCATAATCCACCAAAAATATATATTATACAACAACAAACCTTATCCTCCTATGTTAGATTAATTACATGGATTGCATGATGCCATTGTGCTCTATCAAATATATATCATAAAAATTAAAAATTAGATCAATGACCCTGTTGGCATTGGATTTCGTGCTTTATTGCCTCTCATTTAAGAAAGTTTCAAATGCCCTCCCCCCCATTTTTCTATTTTTTGTTTCCTTATCATTTAAGAAAGTTTCAAATCCTCTTGCATTGCAAGGGGGAGTTGTTCTAGTTAAGTTAAAAGTTCTAATCAGAAAGATCATATCCACATATTTTACATGAATCTAATATTGTCATGCTCCATCAACATGTTGAAAACTTAATATTAAATTTCCGAAGATAAAGAAAATGTTAACTAGCAATTACATCTTTCTTGTTCTATAATTGTTCTAAAATTTGGTGTATATTTACTAATACTTCAATAGTTTAGATCAATAAAAACAGCTTCCTAAAATTAAATTTTGACCAGTGCAAAATATTCAATTCTCACATAGGTGTCATTCTTTACTGAAAAAATTAAATAATAAAATATCTTATTGTAAAAGAACAGTTGAAGCAAGGAATTGAGCTCAAGAAAGAGCAAAGAAGATGGTGGGGAACACAGCATGATTTTTGGGTACCTTTTGGTTGTCAATTGATTTTTGAAGATTTGCTATTCAAATCATCCGTTGTGCTCATCATGACCACTTATTTAATAGGGATTCCTATTATTGTTAGGACTGGAACTACTCGGGCATTATTCTTTATTTTTTCCATAAATAATCTCCCATCGCAAGATGAGCTATTATCAGATTTTGGCAAAAATCAGAATACTGTCAAAAAGATCTTCAAGGTGGGTCCATGGAAGGATGCATTGGGGCTACAGTTTCCTTATTAGAGTCATTTTTTTCATTTTACAAATTCATGCATTGTGTTTCTTGATTTAATGAGTAGCAATGGCAACTTACATTGAATTTACCCTCCTTTAAGCCTTCCAAACACTCAGCAAGCTCAACTTGTTTCGAAGCAGTTGCAACAAGTGCCTACAAAAGCATTAGCAAACAAAATCAACACAACAAGCCCAAACAATGCCCTTCAGATGATCTATCATATGATGGGAGACTGGGTCTACCTTTTTTGTCTTTTGCAAATCATATTCTATACATTTTATTCGGTTCAATGACTCGCGAAGGATATCCTCTTTCTCAGGAGGAATTGTTGTTGGTTTGTTGACCATCTCAGTTACTACTGCTTCTAAATTCTGCAACCTCTGCCAAAGTGGATGTCTTGTTTCCTGAGAGACCAAGAGTTCCTCGGACTTGGATTCAGTTGACAGGGTTTTGTTACAGCTTCTCAATTCAGTTGACTGGATTTTGTTAAGGCTTCTCGATTGGCTGTCTGTGAACTGAACGACCAAAAATTTGCCAAGGCCTACAAGTACTAAATATATACAAGCTAAAACTCTGAGTATGCTTTGAATTACTATACTTGTAACATAAGGAATTAGCTTCTTCAGTGATCTTCTGGAATTAATGTTGTTTGAATCACCTGTCAGATGTAATTTGTCAGGAACAAATAAAGTTACAATCATAGAATTAATACAGTGTAAACATGTTTTCAATAAAAAAAACAGAATAAAAATCAATAAATATCCCTCCTGCTCAAAAATTACAAATGGCCTTACATTCTTTCACTCATTCTGGACAGGAGTTATATGAAGAGATTAAGTCCAGACCAAGTGACAAATTGCCAAGCAAATGTTAATTATATCTGTTGTTGCTATTTCTTCCTCTTTTCTTTTTTATATATTGTTCCTCCCTGTATACTTTTCTTCTGGATTAGTTCATGTCTGTACACCAAGATTGATCACATTTTATGTTGCAAATTCAAATCATCATTCTACATGCCGCATCATGATCATACTACATGAATTCTGTCATAAAGCAACTGAACTGAACACCCTAAATTGAAAAAGTGGTGCTGAGGAATAGCTTACTAGTTGAACCAGCATCTTCAATTTCTCTGGCAGTACTGGCTGGCTCAACTTGTTTGTACATAGATGCATGGTCTCTCATCCTTTTCTGAAATATAGTTCAAATTTCATACAAGATCAGATAATCACGGGATTTCAAGATTAAGCAAACTGTACAACTCACGAAAAGACAAAGACATTCCCCCTGAATATACCGTAAGTTATATGTATAAAGATAAATAGAACACAATAGGCTTCCAATTTTATCCCTTCTCTTTTATTTCTTCACTTAAATTTCATCCTTTGAATTAAAATTTGGTATTTGATAATATGATATCACTGCCCATATAACTAATCGTTAACCCAATTGACCAACTTTGCTGATGCAGAGTGTAGAGGGTATTTTGTTAAAAAAGAACTTGATTTGGAGAATTTAAGTTAAAACAAGCAGAAAAACTGAATGAAGTTCATGCTAGGCCAGCTGAACTAATTTGACATTGAAAGGGCAATTTATGAGAAGAAAAAAAAATAAATCTATTTTACTTGAATCTATAAAACTACTCTAACTTTGGAATTAACCCAACTATACCATTTAGCTTCATACTTTGAAACCAGAACAGCACAACATTTTGACAAGATAAGAATCCATTAGTTACGCATTTTTTACTTCTTCAAACTACAGTTTCAACATCTACTAACATATTTTTGGTGTGCAAAATGAAGTAATTGTGACTGCAATGAAACTATTTGTGTAAACTTGAGTAGAGATGGAGTATTAAACATGGTTGATACATCTATAAGTACAATAAATTAGTGCTTCTAATCTATAATAAGTTCAACCTTCACAGTTTAGCTGTAACACAGTAAGTGTTACCACTACTATCTGCTTAGTTCTTGTTTCTCATAATGAGGTAGGATAACAGGTGGCAGAATAAACTGGGTCAGAGAATTGCAGGTCACCTTTTGACCTGCACATAAAGGGGTAATATGGGTATTTCGTAACTGCTAATGCAGATTTCAAGCTATCCACTATGAAACTGTTTCTTTCTAAGTACAAGATCTTAAAGTCTTAGATCAATGAAATCTCTCATTTGGGAGATAACCTGTAAATGCCTAGAATCAGAAACACTAAAATCTAAAAAGATATATCACTAGCTAAATAAAAGAATGAGTAGAGCTCACATCTTCTAGAGGAGGAATTGACTGCATGAAGACTGAAGTACTAGACCTTGCATCTGATGCAGTTGCAGATCCAGTTTGCAACATTTTAGTGCTTTTAACCTGTGACAAAAAGCTTAATTAATTTATAAACATGAGAAAAACCCTTTTGTGCTAAGTGAAAAAGTGGACAATGAGACTTGCGGACTATATACAGTAAAAGAAGGTACTGACACTTAACTAATTTATGAGTGACCTTGTTGGCATTTGACTTGATATCTAATTCCTGGTCACTTGAACTTCTGATTTTTGTCAGCTTTAATGCTTCGCCCCCATGTACTAGCTGTAAATAGTAAATGAAAGCACAGGTTGAAGTATGAGAAATAAATGCTCCAACGTGAGTGAAAACAATGCATAAGCCATTATTTTAATAATATCATACCTTCATAATGTCAGGATCATTCCACGGTCCCTTGCCAGATCTCATACACCCTCCTTCATTTGGGCATGAACAACTTCCACCAAGGAATTCTGGTAACTGGCTGTTAGAAATAAAAGATCCTCATTATTTTTCTTACTACAGAAATAAAAGCATCTAATTAATTGAGACTGTAAAAACACAACTTGAACCTTGAGTCTATAACTTCTAGCAATTTGCTCTGGAACTTGGTCCCTAAGACCTGTAAAATTGGCATATAACATTTCCATTATGATCAATCCTTTCAAGATTCAAAGAAGATGAACAAAAATATACTTATATACATGTATTTTTGCTGTAGTCCTTGGATCAAGAAAGCTTTTTGCTGTATTCCATAGTAGCTTGAACCCACTACCAGCATTAACAATGTACATCTGGTGTAATGTCTGAAAACAACAACCACATTTAGAACGGAGACTGTATACCCAAGTGACCAAGATCATGAACTGCTGTAATTAAGAGGTAGTATGTTTGGGATGAGTAAAGTGGATTCAATGACCAAAATTTAAATGTGTGTAACTAGCTTAGGTTCCTTCCGTCTTGCCTACATGTATTTTTGACAATAATGTGCATGCCAGTAATTATGGTAAAGCAAAACCAAAAAACACTGCATAGCTGTACGGAGCTATATCATAAATGCATCCTGAAAACTGTAACTTCCTTCCCTTTCATTAAGAATTCTCTTAAAAGATTTCAAAATAAAATTCTTAAGTTGAAGCTCATAACTTAACGTTCAATGTAGTGAACACAAATTCAAAGATGCCCATATAATTAATCTCAAAGAATCAATACTGATATCAGAATGTTTTACAAAGTGTCATCCCACTTTCAAAAAATCAGGTTGTTTAATTTTATGAAGGTCATAGAAAAAGATAAGTAATTATCTATGACGTCTACCCATCCAAAAGAACCAATGCCAAACCCACAAATAATTATCTATGACAAACAAGGTTCAAAACATTTATGACTCAAACGATAAATCAGAAAAAATTATTTTTATTAAATTCTTAGCAAAAATGTTAATTGTTATGTACTAGTTCATCAAATTCTAATTCATATAGTAGTAATTACCTCAGGGTAGTTGTCACCATCGATTTTTTGCATGCGCATAACAAGATCATGTGCCACTTTGCTGAAGGTCACCCAGTTCTGTAATATGGAAAAGAAATAATTTTAAACTAAAGTGCCATAAAACATATATTTATATGAATACTGCCTAAGCTCAAAAAGTTACCACGCCATGCACATCCAGAATCGTTGTTGTTGTTACTATGTGCTTTTTGGCTGCAATAGAACAAGCTAGAAATTTTTCTTCGAACATTCTCTCAAATCCCTGAACATGATATTTTAAAAATCGATCTACAGTAGTGACATTCATCAACTTGCTAGGCTCAACTTTGCCAAGTCTTTCAATATAAACTGGTCGGCCCCCTTTATCTACACCATGATAACCATGAGGATAATAATGCTGAACCTCTTCATACTCATCATATGTGAAATCCTATAAATCATAAAATGCAACATTATCTTGTTAGAGATTGAAAGATTTAACATTTTTCTGAAATAACAAAGAATATTGGGAAACCTTCCAATTTCCAAATGAAGTGCTAGAGGATTTCTCCTCACTAGAATTATATGCTTTGGGGAGCAGGTTGATTCCTGTAATATGCTAAGTACCTAAAAACTTTCAGTTCTAATACATCATGTTTTCATAGTAGCTTTCCTAGAAAGTAAGAATAAAAGCATACTACTACAAAAATTACCTGAAGAATAGAATCTACTCCATATTCCTTCCTCCAATTGAGCATATCTCCCCACATATGGACTGTTTTATCTATGTCAAATTTTCTGGCCTTAAGAAATCTGCAAATAAAACAAGCAGTCTATAATACATTTGGCCAAAAGAAATAAGTAAATACAAGAGGATTTCTTCATTACCATATTACATTCTTGTAGAAATTGTTACTTCAAAGATTAGAAGGGCAATCCAGATAAAGCATTCATCTGATTAAATCAACAGAATTGCATGACTCAATTAACACAAAGAAGCATTATAAACAATATCACCCCATGTCAACAAGAACTCTTCAAATGATAAGACTGAACCAAATGAACCACTGAAACAGTAGTTACGGAATCCCTTTTGAGATGAAAGACCTCAAGATTACTCCGGTAGAGAATTATTTGTCTAAATTTGCGATAGACAGATGTAAAATATATTAGGTACAGAAACCAAACATTGCATCTATGGTAAACGAATCAATCAGAAATAAAGAGCATGAATGAATAATAACTCCCAAGTCTATCTATTTCAAAATCCCATGGACTTGTAAAGTAATGAAATTCAGCTATCAGGGAAAATGCATACTCAATAGAAAAGTAGCAACTGCGGCACAGTGAATGATTTACCTTAGCATTGTATGGTAATCGTCGTGGGAAGCTGGAAGCAGATCTTTTTCCAGTAGCACCTGACGAAACGAATTTACAGCTTTTTCCTCATTGGCATCACGAACATCCTCTATCAAAATTGATGGGTATCGATAATCAGCTACACGGTTATTACGTTTCCGGAGACTATAAGTGAGCCTCGTCGAGGCAGTCATTGCTCTTCTCCTAAGAGATCTGGACTGAGACTTTCGCCGCTCATCCTCAGAGGTCTCAGGCTCCAAACTCCCGCCCCTCTCATCGCCTTGAACTAATACCTCCTCTCCTAAATCCAAAATTATCAGTTACCAAATCTGCAATCCTTGAATAACAAAACAATATCAATATCTCAATGCCGGAAGGGCTTAGATTTTGTACCTGACATTCTATTCGAGACGTAGACGATTCCCACCTTGAAGATCTCTGCACAAAGAAAAAAAACACGAGAACTAGCTTGAAGAACGAGAAATGCAAGCCCCCGGTGATCTAGAATATTCTCAGTTGAGCCTTTTACTTTAAGGAAAATACAAAATCTACCAAGAATTCATTTAAAATCACAAGCAAATACCACAGTTCAGCTGCATTAAACCTGCATAGTAATATAACCCAGGGAAACAACTCCCAACCTAAACCTTAAATCACTCAAAATGGTCATCGATCGACAACACAAGACCAACATTGCATATCCACAATTCATCCGACCGAAAAAATCCGTCACACTCAGCGTTCGACAGAGTACCTGAAGACGGGAGCCTAGAAACCAAATAGGCTTCGCTTTCTGATTTCGAAGTCGCTCTTTCTTGCTCTTAATCTGCGGCGTGACAGAAACTGTACGGAGACGCAGACAGGGACAGAGAGAGAGAGAGAGAGCTGAGAAGGGAGAACGTAGCAAACAGGAAGAGAGAGAGGGAGGGAGCGAGGGAGAGGGGGAGGGAGAAAGGCACGTCACTGTCAAAAGCGTTAGTAGGAGAAGACGTAGCGTGCAACGGCCGCTTCGGCTTAACGTTAACGCCGGCTGTTTGGTGGCTTTCATTCTTTCGATTCAGGTGCGACCAGCGCCGTTTGCCGCCCTCGTCACTGTTTGCTAACGGAAGGGGAGGTGGGAGGAGCGGAAATCAGGTGCGTTGCCGTTATTTTTTACGGTGCACGAAATGGGATCAAATAACAAGAAAATGGCATCGTTGAAATTCGGTAAGAAATGCCGACCACTTAGAAAGGGCCACGTGGAACACATGACGGCGATGATTGCAATAAAGGAAGGTGGTGCACGAGGAGGCTCTGTCCACGCGGAATCACCGTACCTGTGGGCCCCAACAATGCCACCACTTTCCTTGAATTTGGCAGGGAAATGGGAAAAATTTATATATATACTCTTTCAATTTTAAATTATGAAATAATTTGAGATGAAATTATGTATGTTAATAATATTTTATTAATTTATTTTTTTAAAATAAAAATTTTAATTTTAAAAAAATGCTCGCACATAATAAATTATTATACTACAATATTATTTTAATTATCTCTCTACTTAAAAAATAATATTAAAAAATTATTATTAATGAAACCTTAATTTTTTTAAATTATTTTATATTTTTTAATAAAATTTTTTTTACCATTATCTTATAATTTCAGGTAGAGAGAATATCTACTATAATTTAAAATAATAATAATAATAATTTTAAAAAATGTTTTTATACAATTATTTTTGTAATTTATAATTGTCATTGCAAAATTTATTTGAGAAAAGAACAGTTAAGTCCAAGAGAAAAAAATTAATATCTTTTAAATCTAAGTGGAATAAATATTAATTTAAATTATTTTAAATTTAAAAATTTTAATTATAAATAACATATTTAAATTTTAAATATAATTTTTATTGTAATTGTAATTTTATTTATAATTGTATTAATTAATATATATTCTCTTGATTCAAAAATATAAAATATTTTTTGAGGAGTTGGATGTTTAAAAATATAAAACACTTTTAGTCTTTCGATGTATAATCATTGTCTTTTTTTTAAAAGTATCCCTGTTGATAATAATTTTATATTTCTTGTAGTATATTTAATAGGGATAAATTTAAAAAGATAGAGTTATTTTAAAAATAAATAATTATTTTTATTAAAAATTAAAATTTAATTAAAAATATTTTATATTTTTAAATGAAAGAAATATAATCTATCTAAACAAAATTTACCAAGTTCTTTTAAAACTTATATTTCGTTTAATTATACCCATGGCATGTTTTTAAAAGTCAATTCCCGGGGGGTTAATGAAGACAAATTAGAAAATAATTTTGACTTTTCCTTGTGTTTTTTCCCGTTTTTGACTTCCGACTTTGGAATTTGCGCCTGATGACCGACGAGCAATGGAATCTGCCTCAATGCCTTTATTTTAGGGGACAATAATAATAATAATATGGGTGTGTAAACACGAACAAGTTAAAATGTTAGCTTATATTTGTTTTTTTTTTTATTTATTGCCGTTGCCAATAACATTTTTATTTTCCCAAATTGCCAAGAATATATTAGATCACACTCATTTTAGCCATTTGCGTATTTAGGCATTTGGAAGAATATAAATATGATAATTAGCATCAACCAATCAAGATGAGGTAAGTTTATCTATTAATAGTCCAAGATTCAAACATTTCTATTATGTATTAAAAAAACACACAAACATACAACTAAAATATGAACCTACATTAAATTCATGTCTTATAATAATTATCATTCACAAAAGAATGGGGATGTGGATCTACCATATTCTCTATCTACCATAATGTAGATTAGTATTTATTATCATATTGGGAGAACGACAATTATATCCTAAAATATTAAATTAATAATAATTTAATTTCTGACAATTTTTTTTAAAAAAGTTAAAAATACTGATTTAGATAATTACAAAATCAAGAGTTTCAATTACAATTAAATATTTAAATATCAAATATAATTTTTAAATTGTAATAAGTATTTTTATTTATAATTATTTGAATCGATATTTGCAACTCAATTTTGAGAAAACTTTGTGAAAGATCTAACTATCATTAATTCAACTTTTTTGGCCTAACTACCATTCTCTCCATAATATATTATTTATGCCTCATTAAAAACAAAAGAGTAATGCCAATATTTTTTTCATTTTGGCCAAAAAGAAATGCCAATATTTTGTTATGGGAAATGAATTTTACGATCAGCATAATCAATTATTTATTTACATACTATCCTTTTATGAATAAAAATAAATTTTGTGTGATTATAAATTAATATTGGTTTTCTTTTAAGTAAGACTATGATCTTTTAGGATAATATATTATAATTAAGAAAGTAAAAAAATATAAAAAAATTTTAATTGTATTGAAAACCTATATTATATATAATATTTAAATTATAAATAGTTATTGTATTTGGAGAATATCACTCATCAACCAACCGGAGATTAACTTTAGTGAAAGGAGTTAGCGTCTCACAACATAATAAATCAATATTTAAATTTTTGTTGAAATAGTTGCCAACATTTAATACCATTTGTTTTTAATAGAAGGATATTTGTGAATAATAAAAAAAAGAATATTACTCATCAATAGTTAAGAATTAAAATTCATTTATGTGAATTCGATTCTTTTTTTCCCAACGGATTCGATTCTTGAAATGAGACATTTCATTTATATTAGAAATTAGTTTTAAAAATTAAAAGAGATAAAAAAATTTGGAAAGTTTTTAATGGAAAAAATATTTAGGAATTAATGACTAAATTGATTGGCAAGCCATCCTTTCAATATTAAATTAAGACAATTCATTTTATAAACTAACATAAGAAAAAAAATCAAAGAATAAATAATTGTTATACTCTATAAAAGGATTTACCATTTGGCAGGAAAAGATTTTCAACCAAAAATTTGTAGTTTCTAATATACAGTGGCATCACCAGTTTGATTATATATATATATATATATATTTGATCTGGATGTATAGATTAATTGTATTTGGGTCAAGCTTAAAATACCTCAACATATAAAAAAAATTATATAGCCACGTTCAATTTTAATATCTCAAGCTTTTGAGTTTATTCATATTGGCCCAAATAACTAGATTATTAAATATTATTTTATTTTATTTTAGCCAATTTTAATTTTTATCTTAAAAATTTAAGATTTTTTCAATTTTTACCTTGTCTGAATTTATTTTTCTAATAATAAAAAAGTCGAGTTAAGCATATTTAAATTTAAATTTATTTGAGAAGTAAAGAAGTTTTTTTAAACTTATTTAAACTAGTCCATCAAGTTTAACATGATTTACCGACTCGAACACTCCTTCATATCAGCTGGCCCTAAAAAAAACAGATATACTCAAGAAAATTATCCTCAATTTATGTTAGTTAAAAGTCTAGGATAAAAGAGTAATTTTAGTATCTTAGCCTCATAAATTATCAATTTGAACATTTCGACAAACAAATAGTTTTCATTTATATATTGTTATTAACTTATTATTTCATCTCTCGCCAAGTCTGTCATCCATTCCATTCGCGCGCGCGCGCGCGCGTGTATCACACATATAAATTATTGACAAATAGGTGTTGATATCCGTGAATATCAATTAACACTTATTGATTATCATAGATAGTATATTTTTTTGGTCAACGTCATAGATAATATATCAAAGCGTGGTGTTTTTTCCTTTTGATGATAATACAATTGAGATATCACATCATTAATCATTAACTATTATTAATATTATTGTTTATATTGTCGTTGTTGTGGTGTTTTAGATTGGCAATCATTTCAATTTTAAAATATATTGGTTTCTTGTGGATCGACTTAAAATATCTTTTTTGATTTGACTGTACTATATCTTTTAATTATAATAGTTATAGTCAACTGTAATAAGCTTGTTTTCATTTACCATTCTTTCAATGAATTTGATTTTTTATTGTTATTTGTATGTTTTAAAAATAATTTATTTTATTTTTCAATTTAATGATAAAAATTGGCTAATTTTAAATTGGGTAAATGAGCAAAATTCTTCATCAACTTTAGATTCAGTAACATCATTGATCTTGAATTTATTTATTATGAAAATTAAAAAAGGTATAATTTAATTATTGAAAAAAATTAACTTTAACTGTTAATTAATTAGTAAGGGATAAAAAAAAACCTCAAAAAATTAACTATAAAATTTCAATAAAAGAATCAAAAAATTACATAAAAGGACAAAGTCCTTATCTATAATTTTTTATATTATTTTTTGATTAATTAATAGTTAAATTTAATTTTTGTTAACTATAGTGATTATATTAAAAATTAAGTATGGACTTTGGAGTGCAGCTTTAAAATAAAAAATATAAATAATAATAGGAAATCAATATTCTTTTTAAATTATTTTTCCCATCATTGTTGCTTTGCCTGCCATCCAAGTTGAAAATCTGGATCTAGTATTAAAATCATATACCAATAAAAAATTTAATTAAAAAAAGAAGAAATTGACATGTAACGAAAAAAATATAGAAAAGCATATATTGAACTCTTATTTAGACATTGATAAGACAAAAATATGAACCTTCTCGCTAAATATATAGAGTACTTGGGAAAGGCTTGGATGCTATCAAGTGTCAGCTAGTTTAATTTTGTTTTTAATTAAAAATAAATATTTTGATAAACATTACCTTCGTTTTGGTCAAATCCACTCGTTGAAAAGTATTACTTGGCGTACGTCATTACATAAGAATTATATTTTGATTATAGTTATTGAAACTATTGGATCACAAGGTCTTCTGAGACATATTATTGAAGAATATGAATATAAATGAGAATCCTTGTAATAAGTGTAACAGTACTGGCTATTCATCTAGCAAGCCATAATTAGTTCTGTGCTCACATTTCTCATGGAACCCAAACTAACTTTTTTCAAGGTAATAATTGAGTTATTCCTCACCCAACTCTCACAGGGGTCTTTTGGAACATCTCTAAACTCGATCCTCCAACTTCTCTTACTTTAGCAAAGTTGAGGCTGAGTATAGTACTATTGAATCAGTACTTCACACTCGCAGGAGTCTTTTGAAACCTTTCCAAACTTAATCCTCCAACCTCTCCCACCTCA